TAGTATGTTGATTGCAATGGATTTTTTACCTTCAGTCCATTTGGTATGATGTCCATCTGTTTGCATTTGGAGAGGAAGATGATGTCTGTCTGTATCTGTGCAAGTTTTTTGTTGAGGTTGATGGATTTCCACTCCATACGGCTAAATTTAGTGCCTTGCATGGTATCAAGTATCAGGGGGTAGCCGTGCTAGTCTGTATCTACAAAAACAACAAGGAGTCTGGTGGCACCTTAAAGACTAACCGATTTATTTGGGCATAAGCTTTCGTGAGTAAAAACCTCACTTCTTCAGATGCATAGAGTGAAAGTTACAGATGCAGGCATTATATACTGACACATGGAGAGCAGGGAGTTACTTCGCAAGTGGAGAACCACTGTTAACAGGGCCAATTCAATCAGGGTGGATATAGTCCACTCCCAATAATAGATGAGGAGGTGTCAATTCCAGGAGAGGAAAAACTGCTTCTTTTGTGGACACACTCAGTCCAGAATAAGGGTGCCATGTTCCTGTTTAGCAATGGCTAAGCCCTGGTCTACACTGTGGGGTGGGAAATCGACCTAAGATACACAACTTCAGCTACGAGAATAGCGTAGCTGAAGTCGACGTATTTAGGTCGATTTACCGCTGAGTCGACTGCTGCCGCTCCCCCGTCGACTCCGCTTGCGGGAGAGCGCTCGGAGATCGATTTATCACATCTAGACTAGACGCGATAAATCGACCCCTGGTAGATCGTTTGTTACCCACCGATCCGGCGGGTAGTGTAGACCTGCCCTATGTTAAACAGGAACAAGGCACCCTTATATTGGGCTGAGATTGTCCACACATGGAGTTATTCAGGAATAGCTTTTCTGAATAACTCCACGTGAAGACAGCCCTTACATTTGAGACCTGAAAGAAAGAACAGCTCAACCAGGTACTAAAATTCATTGTTAAGTCTATTCATTTTCTGTCTTACCAAAGACAAGACAACATAACAAAATTACCCTGGATTTGTCTTGCCAACACACAAAATGCAACAGCTGGGTTTTTACAAGTTCATAAAACAAAATATCTACGATTGAAAAAAGAGCACTAACTTCTGGCCTTAAGTCATGTTACTGTGGGAGGAAAAAAATAGAATGCATTTAAAGTGGAAGCAAGGATCTCAGATTTCCAGTCTTAAATATTTCCTTTTATATGTTGACTTTTACAACTAATGTCATTTACACTCATTTTTTATTTGTACTCATTTTTATTTCAATTTTTACTGTTTAGTTATAAACCAATGAAACCAGAAATCTGTAATGAAAATAGCTATAAGCTCTTTAATCATACCAGTGAAAATGATGCTTCTATAACAACTATATTCTTTGGAACAGGCCATTTCTAACTTTCTGTTTCAAAGAAATTAAACTCTGCAAAATATACTGTGCAGAGACTGCCCCTGTCTCCAAGACAACTCTCTGGAAGCTCTTTGCATAGATCAGTGGTTCCCAAACTTTAACAACCTGTGAACCCCTTTCACTAAAATGTCAAGTCTCGCGAACCCCCTCCTAAAAATGAATATTTCCAGGGATTTTCTCCTTTACTGGAGTATAAATTATAAAAGCAGTGATCTTGGAAATATAAAATTTGTTTTTATGACATGCTTATTACACACTATTTATTAATTATCATTACAGTATTTTTATTACATTATGAAAACGGCAACACTCTTCCAAGATCTCACTTTCGTAGCTTGTATCACTTTGAATAAGCCTGTTATAAGACAAGGCTCCTATGTTTCATCAAGGAGTATAAGATGTGAAACCCACGAAGGTATTTAAGAAGCCAACTCAAAGAGTTCCTCCTACACAAGATTCAGGTCTTGAGCAGTCCAGACAAACAACGCACGTTACAACAAAGCTTAAACTTGTTCTTCATCCTAATTTTAAAAACAGCAAAAAAGATCCACCTCCCTTTCCATTTCTCATTAGGAGTCTTGAAGTTTAAAGCTCCTCAGTGTGATAGATATGCTTGCGTTGATCTGCTTAGCTCCTGGAAGTCCAGGGGCTCCGGGCTGCTGGCCCCATGCTGCCCGCGGTCCCTAGGGACAGCTCTGTCCGCCATTAGGGAATTTTTCCCCAAGAGCCCCCTGTAACATTTCACGAACCCCAGTTTCGGAACCATTGGCATAGATGAAAGGAGACCAGAGTTAAATTCCTGGTCTCGCTCACTAGGTCAGAAAGGCTGAGAATTTTGTGAATGCAACAAACACAGCTTTGGAGAAAGGGAAATGTTTTGTATTATCAACAGCAACCGATCCATCTTAAAGAACAGTTTTAAACCATCCAAATGTAGTCACATTTTATCCTCTGCAGCTGGAAGGATTATGGTTGCTAAATGGGTCCTTTTGGGAGATGGAGGAAAATGGGAACACACGATTTCGCCATCTCAGGTTCCATCACTCTAGATTTTGCGAACTGAACACAGCTGTCATCATTTCTCTAGCTCCTCTCAAACATCTTAATTATTTATTAGACTGGAAAACATCACAACTGCTGACTTGTGTGGAAAAGAGGTGTGACATCGATCAATAGGTCAGACCAGATTAATGGACAATTTAAGACAGTAACACTGCAGAGAGTCTTTTACGCTTTCTCTTTGAGAAAGGCCACCTGGGCTGAAAGGTGGGCTGGAAGTATTGTGCTGTTGTTATTTGGAAGTACTGCAAAGCAGCTTTACCCTTTACTGCAGTTTGTAATTATGTTATCACTCACAAGATTTAAATTGAACAGTTCTTTATTTAATAATGAGGAGGTCTACACAACACGGCGGTAAAAATGCCAGCAAGCTCCCAGAGTCTTGTCTGAACTAGCTTTCCTACCTGTGGAGCTGCATTAGTGTTAGCAACACTGGGAAATGTTTCAGGAAAAGAAAGCCTAGCATAGACAAAACCTCAATGCTACTCTAGTAAGGACCGGTGTTACGTAGTGAGAGTCAGCAGAACGTACTCTTCTCTAAGCAGGATTCTCGCACTGGAGACTAGGAGAATTCAGGAGAAGAGCTCTGAATTTCTATGCAAGGTCCTAGATCTTGTCACCCTGTTACAGGGAGCACTTTCTCTTTCCCAGCATCCAACTGATGGGCCCTCTCCTGACGCTCCACATGGAAGAGGTTCTGTGGGGTTTCAGGATACGGCTAGGGGCAGAGCAGAGGGCTGGACACCAATCACACAGTCTCCTGCTGATCATTTGGACTACTGCACAGAAGCCTGAGTGAGAGTTACTTAGGTTTGGAGTTTCTCTAATTGCTTCTGGATCCCCACAACAGCAGCTGCTTAGCAGCCTCAGGGGAAATAGCTGCAAGGCTCGTACAGGAGCTCTGCAGCAAATGTGCATCAGAGAAGAGAGGACAAGCAATGATTAATGTGGAGATCTCCATATATCTGGGATCCATAGGGATTGGGGCGGGCTTTGTTCCCTACAAACTCCCCGAGTCCCAAATTCCGCACAGTTTTCAATTATCTCTCTGTTCCCTTGAAATTCCCCAGTCTGCCTTCTGTATCCACCTGTTGTCTCTCGTCTTGTATTTAGATTGTAAGTTCCTTGGGCCATCTTTGTGTTGTGAGTTTGTACAGTACCTAGCACAATGAGGCCCTGATGAGGGTTCCTCGGCACCACTACAATACAAATACGTTTCCCAGGTCATTGACCCCTCTGTGCCCCTTCTCCAGAGGAACTCACAATCTGACCCATACTTTGTACAAGACATGGTAAACTGTTCTGAGCGCTGACCTAAGATTTTAGAAAAACTGCTGAACATAAAGGGAATTTTCAACTTCTATGAAACTTGCAATATGTCTCACAAGGAAAATGTTCATGGAACTTCAGTTTCAAATATTAAGAGGAGGATCAAATCCTGAGTGACATGCAGGACCCTCTAATTAGACTTTGCAAGATTCTTGATCCTTGAAACACTACCAGAAAAAGCTTCAGGAATTAGGAAGCTTGTAAATTTCATTTTGCTGGCATCAGTACACAAAGCAAAGCAGAGTCAGGCAGGGCAGACAGCTACGGAGAAAGGGAAAAAAACAGGGAGGGGGGAGAAAGAGGGAGTGTCTTGAGGAGAGAAACAAGTACAGAACAGAAACAGAACCCAGAGCAGGAAAGGTAACAGACAAAGAGATAAGGAAAGCAACATTGAAAAGGGAGGGGGGAAATGAAAGATTATAAAGATACTATAGCACGAGAAATCAGGTTTAAAAAAACACACAGTATTCAATATACAAATGTACTATATCATGTGGCAGATATTATCCAAAAGTAACGAACTTTTTTAAAATGTGGTCATACAGATAGGACTTTAAATGCAATAAAAAGCCTATACAACTTATTAAGGTATATGCAGCAAATACTTCTGGATCTGCCTATACAAATAGGCAGAACATTTTTACACCAACAGAAAACACCCTGGAGATTAAAACTAAGAAAAAGCAAAATGATCAGTGACCCAGAAAGTCAAAATATGAATTATTGTGAGCTTGTTCTACTGTGGAGGAACTGAAAAAGTTCAAGTGCAAAATCTTAAATGGGATGATACTGAAGTATTAAAATTAAACACCACTCCCAATAATCTGTCTGGAATAGAGGTTCCAGTAATATTTGAGTTTTATCCCATGCTTTCGTTTAGCACTACTGTCCATTACAAGATGGTGGCAAATTGTCATGCATCACAAGACTATTTCTGACAACTTTCATTTCTCGGTGCGTTAGCATAGCTTGCTTTCCTAATTTTTTAAAATAGGAAAACTCTTATATTAGCAGAGGTTTAATGATTTACAGGAACTGCTCTAACTTAAAATCATTCAACAGCACAATGTATTTAGTTAACTGGTTAGTGAACCACATTCCTAAAAAGCTACAAAACATACAGGTTACCAAGGGCATACTGTGTATCTTTCAGTAAATTATTAACTACTGCACTAAATAATAAAGGGAAGTACATGAATTATTTGCTAAAAAATTCTTTGTAGAGCGTACCGTTGCTATTCTTGTCTCGATAAGATTCTCCTCTTCTACCACATACTCATGGCCCGTTTTAAAGAGTTCCAGCATTTTTGGAATGTCACGGCCCAGAGAATCTAATTAGAAAAACAAAAAGTGGAAGAAAGTATTAGCGTCCGTACATCTAGTACAACCAAAATGAGAAAGTTAGAAGTGTTCCCTCTAAAGGTAATCGAGACAAGAAACCATCATCCTCCTTGACACACCTGCAAGATGCTGAGGACAGAGTCAGGGCCCCCCAATGGACCCCTATTCTATACCTTTACATCCCTAGGTTAGACTGAGTTGTTTTAGGAGCCTATGTACTTTTAATCACTAATTACTGCACATGAATATTTCTATAACAGGATGTAATTTATCTGCAAGAAATATATCAAGATAGTTTAAGTTGAAAAGCCTGTAGTAGAGCTTTATAAAAATGAAGTCTCTTGCAACAGTCGTATTACAGCAGTTAGAGATCTGGTTTGGAAAACATATTTCTAAACTGAAATTAAACAGAAAAAAAACAAAACAAACCTGTCTATTTTTAAAATATCACAAGATGATCAAAATATAGTTAGTAAGCGACAGTATTAGACGTTTTATACAATGTGCTGACTCAATCCAGCCAAGATAGATACACCCATTCCCCTCAGTAACAAGAAGAGGAAAAAAACAGCTGAGCGGCAAGGGCCTATTTGGCTTATAATGTCACGTGCTTGTTTGAAATGTAAACTCTATTTTACCCATGTTTTTTGTTGGCTGTAGCAGAAATCAGGTGTTGCTAAACTAGAAACTGAATAATCTCTTAAGGCCACAATATAGGCTTCAATGTGTTCTAATGCACATCTGTAGAGGTCTGTTACATTTTTGACAGGGTAGTTGTTTGCTCCAAATGTTTAAAGAGCACAAATGTTGTCTGCCTGCTTGTAAATACATTGTGCAGACAGTTGTGGGAGGGAAGAAAACACTAAAGATGAGGAAAAGTTCTTGATTGAAACTCTCAGTGCATAACAATGTTAGCAAGAAAAAAAACAAATGCTTGAACAGCAGCAGGATTTTAATTTGGATCATGTTAGAAGTAACAAATTAAGATCATTTGGAAACAAAGGAAGGTCAAAAAACAGAGAAAGATATTTTAAAGAATGATGTTTGTTGTTGTGGGAGATCTGATACCAAGAGAGAGAATATTTATAGCATCATGAAGAAACTAATTGTGAAAGAGAAATAGGTTAAAGACAGATGCCATTCAAATGTGGTTAAAAAGTGGGCAAAACATACAAATAACTAGCAAGTTGTGGTGCAAGTGACTACACAAAATTTACGCACATTTTTCATTGTTTTAGTGAAACCATTTTCCCCTACAAAACTTTGCTATAAGCAGAAGTTTATTATAAGCATATTTCAGTTCTTTGCAACATATATGTTTCAAAGTACGTGACTTTGCATGTATTTCTCTAAGTAGATCTCTCACTATAAGTGGTTTCTTGCATATGAATAGTTCCCATAAGTTTACGCAAATAGAGCTTGACTCTAAATTCAAGTTCATTTAAACTGAAGAACTGGCTCACAGTACCAGATTTTTCAAAGATCATATTGGTCTCAAATCACAATCAAACTCGGTAAAGATCCTCTCACCAGTCAGTAAAAGACTTCATTCCAGATATACATTTTACACAGCTTCATTTCCTAAATTAACAGGCTGATTAAATTGTTTCAAGAGAAAGCTCCTGCTCAAGGGCTTATTATTTAATATTAATACATTAATGTGATTAAATATTTAATAGATATAAAATAATATTTAATGAAAATGCCTTACTTCTGCTGGTCTTTGGAAATTTTTTTCTTAGTTTGTTTTTTAAAGGTAGCAGCTTTGCTATTATTTCAGGAACGGCTATGTAAAAATCTGCATTGATTTCATCATCCAAAATCTGAAATTAAAAAAGCCAGAATAATTATGTGAAAGTTTGCAATATACAGAGAGAAGTGTATTTAAAAATGCAAGTAATATTTATTTTTGAGAAAAAATGCTCAGAATTAAAAAAAAAATACCCTCAGGAAAGAAAAAGCCTTCTGTCTCTTGTGTTTTTCAGCCATCAGACTTTAAATATTTGGCAATATGACCAATGCAGTGTCAAAGAGTGCTAGGTTCTGTAGTAGGGAAGACAAAGTCCCCACTTTGAAGAGTTCTTGGAACCAACGTTCTAGTTTTTAGAAAGATCACATTCTTAAAGCCAACCACAAGAGAATGTAAAACGAAGATCTAAATATACTCGCTTGTAAGCTTGAGAGAGCAATGGAAAATTACACTCCATAAGTAATTTTTTAAAATTGTAAAAAATAAAATAGGCTTTATTTTCATTGCCAGAAAAGGCTAAAAACAAAAAACAAAAAAAAAAAACCCAGCAAGCTTCCTTTAAAACAGTGGTTTTCAACCTGGGGTCTGCAGACGTGTCTAAGGGGTCTGCAAAAGATTGCTATTACCATAGAACCGTGGTTTTCAACCTGTGGTCCACGGATCCTTGGGGCGCTGCAGACTATGCACCTCCATTTGAAATTATTTAGGTATCCGCAAATGAAAGGTTGAAAACAACTCCTTTAAAGCGACCAATAGAAAACTAAGGTAAAGGAGGGCAGACCTGTTTTATCTTACATCTTATAAGGTATTCCATTGCTTACTTTTCTTCTTACAACCCCATTCTCCTTCCTTATCAGAGCATGTGTTACATCTACTTACATGTCAGTAAACTAGAATGAGTTTAACACCATCGTTTGTCTCACCTCTCAGTTTAGACCACTGAAATTTACAAGGGTAAAGCTTCCCAGCTTTGACAAGAGTTTTTGTAAAGTGAAAAATGCAATTTACACTAATATAAAAAAAATACCTTTTCGATTAATTCAGTCCCTCCTGCAAAAGCAGCTCCATTTTCTTTTGCTATTTTAATTTCTTCTGCTTTCTGTAAAAAAAAAAAAAAAAAAAAACCGACAGCCCAGATAAAACGTATGTACTAGCAACCATTCTGTTATTACTTCAATGTCATCAACAGTAGAATGATTTCGCCAGCACAGCCATATGCACTGAATGAAAAACCAACTCACTTGTGAGTTAAACATGAAACTATCAGGTGAGAACAACTGTTTAAAAACTAGTGAAGTTTAGAGATAGGTGGCTCTGGGGATCTTTAGTGGAAGCTTTCTCTCTAATTAACAAATTTTAATCAGGTCCCAGTAAGGAGTGGCAACAAAATCTTTGCCATGATCTCACCAAATCTAGAGAACAGTGTTACAGTGAGACAGGAAATGTTAACAATTTATGCTGGGTAGTTTTCACTCAGTTTTTTGCTTTCTTTCTCCATGATCAGGATGAAGCAACCAGCCATCTGTTAGATGGAGCCTTATCCTTTAAAGAAAAAGTGGAGCAAGTTTTAGTGCACTAGTAAAGATGATTGTTAATAACTTCCTTGAGGTGAACAAGCTACCATTAAACAAATACTGAAGAAACCTTTACTTGAAAAGATGTTTGGAAATTACTCATTCATTCTCTACACGTGATCCAATTAGTTTACTTTCAAATCTCAGTACTGAACAGAAACCATCAATATCATCTAGTGATCTATCAACAGCTTTTAATACCATTGATGAGATATTAATGGCTTGCTTACATGAGCTATTATAAAGTCATGTTTAATTTTTATAAAAAAAGAAATTACATAGCTTCACACTTTCTTCTCACAGGGGTCCTGGTGGGTAGATTCTGGGGAAACTACTTGTCCTCCCCCAGGTGCTCACATATGAAGGGTCACAATGAGTTGCATTCTGTCACACTCCTATCCATTATGCAAATCGTACAGTGAGAGAGAAGTTTCTGAGCTGCAGTATCATCAATCTGCTGGGGATACTCAATTCTACATCTTCCATTTAACTCTGATTCTACAAAATCATTTCTTTCCGAGTTATTTGACTTAGGCAGGGACCTTGATGAAAGCAAACTGGATGACAAGTGGAAGCTTTTGTTAGAAGAGAGAGTCAGAAAATAATGGCATGAATATCCAGAACCTCCTAAGAAGGATACACATCATGCCCATCTTTTACTAAAATGGCTCACATATTAGAGGTCCCACTGGAATCATTACTGTCCCTGAATTCTCAGTTGGCAAGCTGGCCCCTAGTGCCTTTCATTATCTATAGATAGCCAGCATGCTGCAGGTATTCTTTCCCAGTACAGGCAATACAACCATGATTCATGTCTCTGTCACTTGATATTAGACTACTCTACTGCATTCTGCTTAGGGCTACCTTTGCAATCTACACTAGGTGGAGCTTGTGGGTAGAATGCTGTTGCTTGTCTTAGGCTTGGTCTACACTTACCCCCCAAGTCGAAGTAAGGTACGCAAATTCAGCTACGTGAATAACGTAGCTGAATTCGACATACCTTACTTCGAACTTACCGCGGTTCAGACGCGGTCCACACGCGGCAGGCAGGCTCCCCGTCGACTCCGCGGTACTCCTCTCGTCTAGCTGGAGTACCGCAGTCGACGGCGAGCACTTCCTGGTTCGACTTATCGCGTCCAGACCAGATGCGATAAATCGAACCCGGAACTTCGATTGCCAGCCGTCGAACTACCCAGTAAGTGTCGACATACCCTGAGTGGTAGCTTGAATATAGAACAGTTGGACTCAAGTTTCTGCAGTGGTTTCCTGCTATCTTCTGGGTGATCATTATCCTTACAACCTTAAATGATCTGTGATATGGTTGTTGGGAGATTGCTTTTCACTTTATCCCCTGTTAAAACTATTAAAGGCAGCTGGAAGCCTCTACAGCTGAACTCTCCAGAAGTGGTAGCAGGGCTCTCACATTTGATGAAATTTGCTCCCTTTGGTGATTTTCTACAATTACACTAACAAGCTCCAGGGCCCGATGCAAAATATTTATTTGGCTTAAATTTTGGTCTATTTTTGTTATAGCCCATCTTGTGCCTGAAAAAATGGCTGCTATTAGAGTGCAGCATAGGTTCTGCCAATGCTTGTGCTGTCCCTATTCTGTGGATAAGTGAAGATTTGTGGTACATAGGGCTGTTAATGCAGGACCTTTCATGAGCATTTAAGTACTTTAAATGAAATGTAGCAGCAAAAGTTCTATAAAAGACTTATTCTAAAATATTAGTTTTCTATTATGTACATAAGCCAGGCATTTGGCAGTCTTGAAAGAAAGGAGAAAAGGTTTAAGGAGGGCAACTAAAAGATTGAGCATTTGGTATTAAGACAAACCAAATACAGAGGCACAAACTTTACATTATATAAATTGACGTTTAAATAAATAAAGGTGAAAAATAATTATGGACAAACGGGGAGAATGAGAAAAACAGCAATGGATTCTAACAAGCGAAAGGACATTTCCTTTAGCCCGCATTAGGTTACAAGAACTCCATTATGAGTTGCTTCAGCCTTGGTACTCAATTCCTCTTAAATTTACAGTACTAGACTATTCTGCTAACAGATAAGTGTACATACACAAGACAGGAGAACCCAAAAAAGTAGGAATAAATGTATTAAATTGCTAAGCAACCAGAGCCAAAGGTAGTTCCTGGCCCAAGGAACTTTGTAAAACACTTCGGGATCCTTCAGAACAAAAGGTCCTACATCAGAGGTTCTCAAACCGTAGTCCGTGGACCACCAGTGGTCCGCGAGCTCCATTCAGGTGGTCCACGGATAGTTCCTTCTAAGGTGCACGCCTGGGCGGCCGCACACAAGACAATGAAGGGCCACCCATCTAATTAGTGGAACCGTGCAGACATGGCTCCACTAATTAGGTGCCTGGACCCTGGAGAAGATGTACATGTAAGGTGAGGTGGTGGCCTTGGGGGGGAGGGAAATAGGTGGGAGGGGGCAGTGGGGTGAGAAGAGGGGGTGGGGGGGAATTTGGGACATGCAGGGCTGCGGCGGCCAGAGAAAGAAGCAACTTTCCCCAGCTGCCGGGGAAAGACGGCCCTCCTTCCTAGCCTCAGCTCTGTGGCTGCTGTGGTGGAGGAAGAGACCCGCCTCCTTTCCAGCCCCAGCTCGGGGGCTGCTGCAGTGGGGGAGAGAGGGAGAGACCCCCCCCCCTCCCTTCCCAGCCTCAGCTCTGTGGCTGCCATGACGGGGGAGAGAGGGCACATCACATCAGAAAGGTAAAGACCACTGATATTAAAATATGAACTGTGGGCTTTTATTTGTAGAACAAAAAAGTGTTTATCATCAAGTATTTTTTAATATAGCGCTTTTATCCAAAGCACTTTACAATATTTAGCTAACGGTACAAACAACATTTGGAAAGATCATTAAGTGGTCCGCTGAGATCCTCAGCAATTTTCAAGTGGCCCTCAAAAAAAAAAACGTTTAAGAACAACTGTCCTAAACAAATACAAAAGTGAACCATGTACTAAACATTTGTTGTATACATAAAATATCTGAAATGAAGGACTTTTAAATAACACATTTACTCACCTCTGTGAATACCATAACTTTATTGATTTCAGTTACAAAAGGATATGGTAGAAGAATGGTGCCAACAAACTGATCCACTTTTTTCTAAGGATATAAAAAAACAAAAACAAATGGTTGGTGCAAATTTAAAACTATCTTACTGTAGGACATCTAAAGCCTAACTGGAACTTGGTTTATACAAAAGGTTGTTTTGTATATTTTTCCCACTTGTGTGGAGCTGGTTCACTGTGTACTAACATTTGTGTTGTAAGTTGACTACGAACTACTGAAATTACAAATAAAGAAGAACAGCTCTACCTATAGATTATTTTTGGTACGTTAAGTAAGCTGTTGACTTGACAACTAGAGAGCCTAAAATGCATTACTTGAAATATGAGAATAGAACGAATCGACACTTTACACACTTCTGTATTTTTGTCCCTCTAGTTCAGTTTATTACTCCCTCAAAACAAGGAAAGTGCCTATGCCATTCCCATACACGCTGCTTTTCCTGTCGTGCTGCCAAAAGAGAAGTGACAACATTCACCAAGGGCAGAAGGAAGCGAAATAAAAACAGGAGGGGAAAAGAGGAAAGAAAATTATTGTCTCTACTCTCCTTCCCATAAGGAGTGCACCCAGGAACAGTAGGGGATTAGATGTGGATTGCTGTTCAATACACCACAATGTGAACAGCACTGGCAAGGGGGGGAGGGGGGGGAAGAGAGAGAGAGAGAGAATGAATACAGGATTTTTCCATGACCGGACGCCAACTTTTAAACTATACAAGTCTTCTAAAGGGACTATATGAACACAGATAATCATTATCAAAATAGGTTGTGTCTTGGAATAGGACTTTAGCTATACAGCAGTCTTTAAAACATTAGAAGAAGAACAGAAATTGTTGATAACCGGAGGAAACAACATCTTAAGTCCTGAATTTGAAGGATACCATGTACAGTTCTGCCAAAGCACAGTGTCGTCTAGGAAAGACCACTGAATACCTGGCATAAACGTGTCGCAAAATGTGAAAGAGGTTTGGAGGCTGAGCCAGAACAAGATGACAGGAAAGGCTCTTCGCCATATTGCATTTCTTTCCCTTACAATTAAGAAAGGTAGTTTCTTAAAATATCACAACTGCAAATCTGTAGGTACTGTCAACATACCTTCTTCTCTAGCATCATATCCAGAGTGATGTTAGCATATACATGTTGTTTTGGGTAAGTGAAGTCCAATTGCTGAAACTTCTTCAGCATGTCCACAGCCACCTCTGCCTCATAGACTGGCCTTTCATACAACCATGTTAAATACACATCATCCACTGGCTTGCTTGCTAACTTTCGTCTGTAAGTGTTCTTTTTTTTTGCTGGCTCTGCATCTGAAGTTTTCTGCTTGGCATCCTTTGAACCTTTTTTTGCAGTTCTTTTGCAAATCAAAATGATAAATATAAGACCATTAACCTTAATGCTTAGTATGTACTTGAATACAAAAGAGTTTGGTTGAAACTGCATCTCAATAAAAAGCAATGTCTTGTGTGGCCAAGTCAACTCATGAAATGTCAATCCCTCAAAACTGCGCTTGACTTCCCACCTGCTCCGCCCACCCATCTACTGTAAACATAGGAGGAAGAGTAAAGACAAATCAGAACCAAAAGGCTATTAATGAAACTGAACCTCAAAGGCTACGAACATCAAGAGATGTTAGATTACCTAGTGACCGACTAGGAGTATGGTCACAGATGGACTTCGCTAGTCATCTTAATGAAGATTTAAATAATCAGAACATAGCGCCTATTAAAAAAAATCATAATAATCCCTCTAAACCAATCTGCCTCAGTAATCCAGTAAAAATTCCTAAAGCATTAAACATTACAATGTTATTTTCTTCCTGGCTTCAAGTTTCCTGTGGGATGTAGCTCCCACCTCATCATGGCAACAATCCTGAATATCCTCTCAGAAATCAGAAGCTTTAAAATCTGTTTTTGTGCAATCAGTTTAGTGAAAGAGCACTAACGACTTTGGAATCTGAATTTGTGCTCTGATAATGACTGACTCCCTAGATAAATATCAGAGCAAAATATCTCGGCTTTGGCTCAAAGGTTAATTTAGATAACTGTGTTGGCTTCACCACTGATCTCCCAACGTTAGTGCACAAGTTGCATTCCATTAATGTTACCACTTATTTTGTATTTAATGGCAAAACACAAATTGAAATTCCAACTCTGAAGTTGTTGTTTCAGGTATTACAAAAAGGATGAGTTCCACTTTTAGAAATTCAAATAAACACTTCCAAAAGCGTCAAGATTTTCTTCTCAAAAAAGGTAAGTGGGACATTATCCTGGCAATCCTATTCACTCACAGATCTGTAGGAGTTAGTCCCCCCCCCATATTTTAAGACTATCCGGAAGCTAGCAAGGTGAATGTGCTTTGTCATCTTTGCCAGTTTCCATTAATTTCTTGTAGGAAGGAATTAATTCAGCGCCATACTGAACAATCCCATATTCTGTGTATATGGGAAAGATATTGTAACCCATTACAACTAGTACAGTAGAAGCCATTTACGACTGGCTACCCAGGCAGACCAAATAAATCTCTTTTACCCAATGTGGGTCATAAATGATCAGCCCTCTCCACCCTCCTCCTTACAGCTCTCTGAAACGTCCTTAAGTTTTCTCTACTTTTAAGAATCCCATTTTGGGGCGTCCAGTAGGTTTGGCTATGGTTCTGCAAAGTAAACATTTAACACCTCTTAGGCTCTATAGCAGTGGTTCCCAAACTAGGGGCGCGGCTTGTTCAGAGTAAACCCCTGGCGGGCTGGGCCAGGCTGCTTACCTGCCACGTCCTCAAGTTCAGCCAATTGCAGCTCCCAGTGGCTGCGGTTCTCCATTCTCAGCCAATGGGAGCTGCAGGAAGCAGCGCGGGCCAAGGGACGTGCTGGCCGCCGCTTCCCGCAGCCCCCATTGGCCTGGAGCGGCGATCTGCGGCCACTGGGAGCTGCGATCGGCCGAACCTGCGGACACGGCAGGTAAACAAACCAGCCCGGCTCGCCAGGGGCTTACCCTGAACAAGCCGCGCCCCTAGTTTGGGAACCACTGCTCTATAATCGATTGAATTTTAAATTTTGTTTTTATTAAGGAAGGGAATTGGTCTATTTTTACATGAGACTTTGGTTATCACAAAGGAGAGAGAAAGAAGGGTTCTCAAGGATTGTCACATGATCATAACAGAAATCAGAATATTCTCATAGCAGGAAAAAGAGCAGTTTACTCCTAAGCAATTCTTTGCTATCTGTAAAAGTTAAGGTCCTGATTTTTAAAGGTGCTGAGTAACTACAATTCCTGTCAAACTCAATGGGAGCTGTAGCTGCTCAATACCTCTGGAAAATCAGGCACAAAATCAGTTTGGGAATAAATACTCTCAAGGTGTTTTGCACCTGATACTCTGCAGTTCATATGATTGTGTTAAAGATCTAAGTTAATGTTGCACAGTTATGTCAAAACACAAAAGTTAAGGTAATATTTGCAACTCCACTCCTTCATGCATATGCAGTATGGTACAGTCTCCAATCCGGTGATCACTTACTGCTATTCAAACACAACATAACACCAAGCTCTTGTAGAAGAAGTGGGCTAGCGAAAGGATCTGAGTCCTCGCTCCCACTCCCTTTACCCAGAGGCCTCCCTGCTCTTGAGGGCTCCTCTTCCACTCTCCTGTCTGGCAGAGTCCTCGTAACCCCAACAAGGCTGGGCCCAGGATTCCTGGGGGGCTCAACCCCCCAACCCTGCTGTGGTCACCTAGGACAGGGGCTAGGGTATCCCCACTACGGGGTACCCTCTCTGCACTGGGCACCTCCCTGACCCACTGATTATTCTATACAATTTAAAGCAAATACAAGTTGTTAAATTAACAATTAATTTAAAAAAAAAGAATAAGGAAAAATGGGAAAAGTTAAAGGAAAACACATCACCCCGCTCTGTGGCAGGGAACATTACAAACAGTGTCTCTGGCACGTCAGGGCAGGTCACAGTCTGTTCCTTGTAGGTCCCAGGCTCCTTCTCAGGCCCTGGCTGTGCTGCAGAGACGCTGCGGGTTGGACGCTTGCTCTGGCGGTGGCCACACGCTCTCAGGCTCTAGGTGGCAGAACCCTTTTTCCCAGCGTCGCCCCCGCCCTGACAGGGTTACGATCCCCCTCCAAGTCTGGCCTGCAGAGCCTCTTGGCTGAGGTGTCTCGCTGCGCTGGGCCCACTGCCCAGGGTCCCCCTCCTCTCCCCAGCTGCTCACCGCACCCAGCTCCGGACTGCTCCAGCCCCAGCTCCACTCTGCCTCAGCACGGCTGCTGCTGCTGCTCTGCCTCCAGCTCCCTGGGCTGCTTCTCTGGCCTCTCTGGCTCTGCCCCCAGGACAGGTCTGCTCTGCAGGCTGCTTCTGTGACTCTGTTCCCAGCTCTGACCTGCTTCCTGGGTTGCTTGTCTGGCCCCTCTGGCTCTGGTGGCTGCAGCTCTCCTCCCAGGGCAGCTCTGCTCTCTCTGGGCTGTGCTCTGGCTTTGGGGCTGCAACTCTGCTCCCAGCAACTTAGCTCGGGCCTCTGCTCTCTCCTTAACTCGGCCCCACTCTGTCTGAGTCAGGCCATTCCAGTTCACACGGACCGCCCTGGCCTCCTGATTCTCTGATTAGCCTGCCCACCCTGTCAATCAGGCTGATCTGAAGCATTGGCCTCTCCCCATTGTTCCTGGGGACTGTCAGTCTCAGGCTCCTGATTTCCCATCGACCCTTCCCCTTTTAGTGCTAGGAGCTAGCCAACCAAAACACCCCCACTGAATGTTAGTAAGGGGGCAACAGTCCCCCTACAATAAGTTGTACTAGTGATATGTGCAACAGCGCCACTTACACCAATATTCAAGATATTAATTCTTCTGAATTTTAAAACCCATTTGCGCAACCCACAACTACAGACACAGCCTGCTAGAAATACAGTAAACACTCACTTAGCAGCAGCGTAGGGTCTAATGGATAGCGGTATGTTTCCAAGGCAGGGAACTACTGAGGTCCGTTGATCAATCCTGGGAAAAATACAGCTGGGAAACTGAGCCAGAACTGTTTAAAAATACAAAAAAAAAAAGAAATACATTCAAGTCCGTCATATTGCTACTCTAATCCGTTAGCACAGAGAGGTCGGGGTTTTGTTTTGTTTTAAGATCTATTTTGACGTGATCTGTGAAGCTATTTGTACAGATTCCCGGGGCCTGTCGATCCATCACAAGCCCTTGGCGCGAGGCCTGTCAGCGGGGCCGCACTGGAGGGCGCCTCCCTCGGGCAGGGTCCCCATGCGAAGCCCGTCGGCGTCTCTCCCAGGCGCTGAAGCGGAGCGGAGCGGGGCGGGAGGCGGCTCCGTCCCACCTTCACACGAGGCAACACGCGCGATCTGGGGAGACCCCCGCGCCGCCCCGCCTCTAGCCGGCCCGTCCTGCCCCGCCCCGCCCTGCCTCCAGCCGGCCGGTCTGGCGGGAGCAGCCCGGCTGCCCCTCCGCAGCCCTTCTCCAGCCGCCGGGTGAGACCCTTCAGGGCCCCGCCCCGCCGAGCCTGCCGCACCGGGGTGACAATCAGCCCAGAGCGGGGCGGCCCCACGGCTCTCAGCGAGCCCGGACTGGGCCGGCGCCCCCAGCCCCGTTACAGGCGTTGGCGGGGGGGGGTCCCCGCTCAGCGGCCCCCGGGCTCAGCTCCAGCCCCTCCCCCCCGCACTCACGTCTCCGCAGGCAGCACCTGCCGGGCGCCGCCATGTCGCCGGGGCGTGTCACACTCAAAGCGAACCGAGCTGCCGCGCGGAGCCGGGGAGGAAGGTTCCGGGGTATCTGTATGTGCCGGTGTCACACCCTTCCCCCTCCGCCGGGGGGGGCGGGGAGAGCAGCCCCCGACCCTGCCGGTGAGGCACGTGGAAGCCGGGTCTGCCCCCCCCAGGATTCCAGGACTGTCAATGGGAGCCAAGAGCCCCTGCTGCCCTGGGGAGGGGGGAGCTGGAACTAGGGGTGCTGCCCCCCCCAGGTGCTGGAACTAGGGGTGCTGCAGCACCCCCTGCTTTGAAGGGGTTTCCATCATATACAAGGTTTACAGTTTGGTTCAATGGTGCTCAGCACCCCCATTATACACATTGTTCCTGCACCCCTGTAGCCCCCTGTGCCTGGTGACCTGTGTGCCTCCCCCCAGTCTCTTGCTCATGCTTGTGCAAGGGCAGCGCCGGGCGTGCAACTGTGGGTGCCAGGTCTGCCGGCTCCAGAGCAGGGCCAGAGAGATGGCCTGCCCCGGCCCAGCAGGGTCATGGAGAGAGTAGTAGCCTTGGCCCCCGGGGCCTCCCTTACTTCACATTGGGATTGTGTTGTTTTTCTGATTGATAAAAACATTGGGATTGCACAAGTGTCTGCTTTGGAGAGAAGGGCTGGTCCTGTGGTTACAGTACTGGATTGGGACCCTGGAAATCAAGGGTTAGGCCCCGGAAGTCCTGTCTGTGGACAATAGGGCTACCATACATCCAGATTTCCCCGGACAAGTCTGGCTTTTCGGTCTATAAATAGCCGTCCGGGGGGGATTTTTAAAAATCTAAAAATGTCCGGGATTTCCCCCGGTCGGCTATTTATAGATAGAAAAGCAGCGGCCAAGCGCCGCTGGGCACCCAAAGCCCCTTCCCGGCTCCCCCCATCCCCTGCAGCTCAGCACGCTGTCTGGCCTGCACCTGTCTTCCCCCTCCTCCCCTCCCCTGAACGCTCCGCCCCCCTGCTCCTCCCCCTCCCCTGCTTCCCGCGAATCAGATCTTCGCGGGAAGCCTGAAAAGAAGCAGGGGCAGGTGGGCAGCAGCAGGTAAGCTGGGGCAAGGGGGGGGATGCGAGGAGGAGGGCTCTGGGGAGGCGCGGCTCCCTCTGGTCCTGGCCGGCCCCAGGGGCTCCGGCCCGGCTCGGCACAGGCCCCGGGCGCCTGGCCGAGCACCCCCGGCCCGGCCCCAGCAGCTCCGGCTCGGGCCCCAGGGCGGTGGCCCCGGTTCTGGCTGAGCGCGCCGGCCCCAGCCCCAGCGGCTCCGGCCTGGCCGAGCACCTCCGGCCCGGCCCCAAGCCCCGCAACCCCAGCCGGAGCTCTGGCCGGAGCTGCGCCGGAGCTCTGGCGCAGCCCGATTCCTGGGCATTTATTAAAGCCGGCCCTGGTCAGGGGACAGGGGACGGGGGTTGGATGGGTCGGGAGTTCTGGGGGTCCTGTCAGGGGGCAGGGAGCAATTGGATAGGGCATGGGAGTCCCCGGGGTCTGTCTGGGGGCGGGGGTGTGAATATGGGGTGGGGGTGTGGATAAGGGTCGGGGCAGTCAGGGGACAGGTAGGGTCCTAGGGGGGCAGTTAGGGTGGAGGGTTCTCAGGAGGGGGCAGTCAGGGGACAAGAAGCAGGGAGGCTTAGATAGGGGGTGAGGTCCTAGGGGGCAGTTAGTGGCAGGGGTCCCAGGAGGGGGCAGTCAGGGGACAAGGAGCAGGGCGGGGTTGGGGGTTCTGAGGAGGGCAGTCAGTGGGAGGGAGTGGATGGGGGTGGGGCAGGGGCAGGGCTAGAGCGGGGCTCCTCCCCCCCCGTCCTCTTTTTTGATTGTGGAAATATGGTAACCCTAGTGGACAAGACCCTGCACCAGTTATTTAATCTCTCTGTGCCTTGGTTTCTCAGCTGTAAACTGGAGCTAATACTTCCTGGGCTCACAGGGCTGGCGTGAGGACAAGTTCATTGATGTTTGTGTACTGCTCAGCTACCACCCCCATAAGATCAGGTAATTATCTAGATAGAGAAACCTAGCCATGAGCAGTGGGGATGAGTAGACCCCAAGGAGAATCTCAGGCTTCACGCTTTTCCATCATAGCTGATCTGACACTGTTCTTGCTTGTAAGGACAGAACCATGCTATGTCCCTGCTTGGGACATCTTGATACTATTTTAATATAAATAATAACCACATAAAGGAGATGTGCTCTGGTCCTGAGCTGTACCTTGCTGTTTAAACACAATAAAAGGTATTACACAAATGGGGCAATTATATTCTATGTACCCCCTTGGTATAGCTGTGTTGGCTGAAACCATTTTAAAGGTTACATTTTAAAATTGCTTTTCTAGTGGACTATTTTGTATTACAGATACAGCCTAATTCTTCACAGTACAGTAGAATCCCTTGTCCCCTGCTCTGGCTAATAGTAGTAGTTTGTTTTTAAAATGAAAACTGCACAAATGATGAGCATACTAGGCCCCAATCCTTCAATTAGCTCTGTGTGCATGGAGCTCAGAGTTAGGGTCTCAGTTTGCACTTTTTAAATGATTTCTTTTATACTAATGGAAACTCATGCGTAAATATCATTAGTCACTCATAACATAAGAGTACCTCTCAGACTTTCCAGTAAGATTTGTATTTATATTGTGCAACCCAGCAATTTACAGTATGTGAAGCAGAGTCACTGGCCTTAAACATTCAATAAATTCCTTGGGAATATGTTTTTATCGATCCTTATTTTTGCTGTGATTTGCATTATTCTTTAAATATATTATGATGGCATGCTCTTTAGCGTGGTCTTCAACTATGGGCCCTTCATGTGGCTCCTTACCAGTTAGATCACAAATAAATGACTGAATGCAAAATGAGGGATATGACAAAATTAGATGAGGATGCTTGAAATGGAGCCGGGCTCATTTCTATTTACTTTTAAGAGGGGATATTTTCATTACATTAAAATAACTGGTTGTCTATTAAACTGTCAACAATTTCTCATCTTAAAGTACAGGTCTGCCTTGAAAAAAAAAACTTGTAAAAGTGGCTTCTTCTTACTCACTGATCTATTCCTTGTGTGCATTCAGTCACATCTGCTGACTTTAGTGATAAAAATAGTAATAATGATCCTGCAAAGACTGCTGCTCTGTGTAAAGTTACTCTTGTTCTGACACGTTTGCAGAAACAGGGCCTCGGTGGTTATTACCTTTTGCTCCTTGGCTCTGTAGAGCCAACACAGCTAAAAGAGAATGAGTTGATTTCTGTTTTTTCTTGTGCATCATCAATAGAACTTTTTATTGGGTTCCAATCATTAAAGGAAGTGGGACTGAACAGGTGTCACTAATGGCATATTTTGGCCTGCAAAACTTTTATTACAAATGATAATGCTTGCAAAGTAAAGAACCCAGCCTGACTTTTAGAGCCCAGGTCATAGGTGTGGGAAGTAGGGATGCGGGGGGTGCTGCAGCACCCTCAGGTTTTATGCGGGGCCACTGGCTCCGAGCATAAAATCTGGGGATTCTTCCCACACCTATGCCCTGCTCCCAGCCCTCCACTCACACTCCGCTCCCCATCCCCTCACCTCAGCTGGGGTTCGGGTCCCAGCTGCTGACCCTGTGCCGGCCCCACCCTTGCTCCCAGGCCTCCGCTCCCAGGGCCCACCGGCCTCACGTCTGGGACTCTACTCCTGGGGCCTGGATGGCGGCCCCTGCCTGGGGCTCCGCTCATGGCCTCTCTCCCGCCCCCAGCTGTGGCCTCAGCCCCCTTACCTCTGTCCCGGTCCCCCCCTCCTGGAGAGACCGCTCTGCTCCCAGCCTCGGGACAGGGGACAGGGACAAGGGGGCTGGCTTTCAGCACCCCCGCTATTAAAAATGTTCCAGCACCACTGGCCCAGGTTGAGTTTGCAGGACCAGAGGTTAGAAAGTCATCTTTTTGTGTATAAACTCAGCATGTTTGATATTGCAGACAGTGAAAGAAAAATGTAGAATCCCATCTTAGTATACATAATCATTTTTTCTGTTAGAACGCTTTAAATTTCTGGAGATGTTCTATTAAAAAAACAAACAAACAAAAAACCCACACACAAAGCAAAGAAAACCCAACAAAACACACAACAAAAGACAACACAAGTGTTTAATATGACTGTGATGGGTGCCACACAAAACTTATGTCTAATAGAAAGACATGAGGAAAAGACAACATTAACATTGCAAAGTCACTCAGGAAGAACCCCACTGATAATAATTTAGGAATTTTTTCATCACCTAAAAGGGTTTTTTAAATAAAGTCTATAGCCCCAATTTGCTTTTGTAACTAATGTTCCATGCTGTGTGACAGGCTATCTAACGGAAGTCTTCAAGCTATAATTTGCTAACTTCCTACTGTTTTGCAGATGATCCTTCCTGAGTTGTCCGTAAAAATAAGATGTGATTGATTAGTACTGGTCCTAATGTGCGTAAGTGTTTCTTTTTTAAACACCATGAGGAATTTACTATCAAGACAATGAGATTTAAATAATCAGATGGAGAGTGATACAATCAGAGCAACAGGTAAGGAAGATAGTTTTAGCAACAGCATGTTGGATGGACTTGAGCAGCATAAATATATTACACAACATCTAATACTGAGGTATCCCACTATTCTTTCAATACTGAGAATCAGCCATGTATATATGAGGTGCATCCCCTACCCCAGTGGTTTTCCAACTTTTTTTCTGGTGACCCAGTTGAAGAAAATTGTTGATGTTCACGACCCAACAGAGCTGGGGATGAGGGGTTTGCGGTGTGGGAGGGGCTCAGGGCTGGGGCAGAGGGTTGCAGTGCAGGGGTGAGGGCTGCGGGGTGGGACCGGGGATGAGGGGTTTGGGGTGGAGGAAGGGGCTCTGGATTTGGGGGAGCTCAGGGCTGGGGCAGAGGGTTGGGGTGCGGGAGGGGGTCAGGGCTCTGTGCTGGGGGTGCAGGCTCTGGGGTGGGGCCAGGGACGAGGGGCTTGGGGTGCAGGAAGGGGCTCTGGGTTTGGGGGGAGGCTCAG